CACATAAAAAGGGACAGCTCCAGCTCCACCAAAGGATTCACTTCGGCTGCATGGAAGATCAAGAAGAGCCCTAGCTGCACGGCAGCAAACAGGAGCTTTGATGTTCAATCACAACTAAAGGAAAAAAAAAATAGTTCATTTTCTTTATGGGTGTTTTTGTTTCTGTATGTCAACAGAAACAGGTAAAGCCTAACAAACAAGTGACAGATAGGTTTGAAAAATTTGCTTCTTTTTCCCTACCCACTGAGGGGTTCACAAACTAGAAATAAAGATCTGTGAAGACTGGTGAAAACACACTTCCACTGTGAAGTGGAAATACTTCATTCACTTCTTTTAACTCTTAAAAACTGTAAGAGTCTATTTCATTTCCTGATGCATATTAAAGACACAAAATTTAAATCTTACCTTTGGCAAACATTGGCAAAATATCTGGGCTTCCCCAGCTCCAAGTATATTTGCTCTCATTGAAAACGGAGTCAAATTGCACTGGATTCTCCTTCCAGCCTGGTAAAGAAAAACGAGAACACACACACACACACACCCCCCCACACACACACACACCCCAGAGATTTCAGTAGGGTTGCCAAAACATCTCACTGACTGTTAAGATTGACAGTTCAGGCAAAACGCATTAAAAGTCTCCATTATTTGACAATGGACTCTACAGTGCAGGTCTCAGTTTTACCTCAGTTTCAGCCCATTTGCAATTAGTGTCCCATTCAATATGAAATGGGCTGAAAATCCAAGACAATCCTATTAGGCAGGGTTTGGGGGAAAAAAAAAAGTGTCTCTTTTACCTTTTCCAAAGCTAAAATTCTTCTCAATGCTATATTCCCTGCTGTCTGACCTCTGTGTTCAGTTTTCAACATTTCAGGCAATAAATTACACTCATATATCATATTAACAGCTATGTTCCACCCCTTCACAATAAAACCTTCAAGATTTCTATTTCCATGACAAGGCAGTTGACAGAGATGCTCTTAACAGCCGTTCCTGCCAAATCTACATTTATAGATGTGAGAATGAAGAACCTTTCGATTAGAAACATGGACAACATCAGATAATTCCTCTCACCTTCCCTTTCCAAAAACAAAACACAACACTGACAATGTTTGGGCCTGGGACAGGGTAGAGCTGCATACAAAACAGCAAGTCAGAAACACGAGCGCTTGTTCCACGTTACCAACCAGCAGCTCTCTGGATGAAACATGGAGCTGGGGCTTTGGCTTTCAGTTGCTACTGATCTTCTGACTCAGTTTAGCAGTGCAGTTCAGTTCAAATGCTGCAGTTCACTTCTTGTTTATGGTTATCTACACAACCATCTCCCAATGTAGCCCCATTCATAATTAAAAACTGCTGAAGTCAGCCTATAAGGCACCTTTGCTTTTAAAGTTTAATAGCACCATACTTAAATTTCACTGTGTTGCGAAATAGTAACTTATTCTAAAATAAAAGCATGTGTGAACCTATTTTTTTCTCTCCTGTTCATATTCACTGTTAACCATATTCGTCCAAAAGAAGCTTATGGTTTCCACATAATCTTAGTATATAAACAATTATGTCAGTATTTAGCAATTATTTAGAAACCTACTGTACCACTAAAACACATTACTTTGGAGGATAAAATTGAAAGCTTTTGAACTAGCATACCTTTAGCAACTGCACTGACATCTTCATAAAATCCAGCTATAAGTGCAACATGGCCTGGTCTAGACTCGGTGGGGACACGGGTGTGAGAGATTCCCCAGCTACCATTATTCTCTAGAATACTCCTGAAAACAGAATAAAAAAGTCGTTAGTGCTTAACACTCCATTGTACTTAAGAGTGACAGGTAGGTGCTAGGAAAGAAATGAAAAGCCCCAATTTAAACAAACTTTCCCTGTAGCTTGCTCTGAAGCAAGGCAAACAGAACATTAACCTGCAAGTCATTCAAAATTGTAGATCATCAAATCAAATGACAGGGATCATTACTACTGGGAGCCATCAGCACTTCAAAGAGGCAAGTTTAGCTACAATTAGAATTAATGTTATTTTTTGGCTCTTTTCTAATACAGTTTACTTTTCCCCTCCCACCAGATTGTTGCTGTCTGGTATAGTGTTTTCTTTGTTCTTTCCGTTAAGATTGAAAATGTCTAGATTAATCTCCCTTTATTCATTAAATACGTTCAATTATAATTAGCTTTTGTAACCACGTCTGTCTTCTTTATCTGTGCTGAATCTTGGAAGCCAGCATCAATAAGATTTAGAAACAAAGGAAAACCTAAGGTGCAAATCATTTGAAAAACATGGACAAATTCAGGCAAGCCCCGTATTTTATGCAATTTCACCAAAGTGAGAGGGGATACATTCTCACCAAATATATGGAAGGGTTAGCTGTTAAATAGCATTCGCATACATAACAATAATTGATAAAAAGATGAGAAAACAGAGGACAAAGAGGACAAAAGCCCAAGCACAAGCAACAGTGTTACAAGCTATTCCTGTCTGCTGGAAAAATGAACAGCTGGAGTCTGTCGGAGAGCGAGCAGTGAGCGTAACCATGCACTGTTTTCTTGTCTCCATCTTCTGGAAGAAATATTCACTGTCCACCAACTGGGCAAGGTAAAATAAACAGCACATACCTTATACTAATGTTTAAGATGAAAAAGGGGGAAAAAAAGGGAAAAGGATAAAAAGTAGAAGTTTTGAACTTGATTGTTCAAAATATGTTACAGAATTTGCTGTTCTTACTGTATGTGTACACAGCCCGTCAGTAGACCGAGTTCATGTTTTGAAACCTTTTACTTTTAACAGAGAACACCCTTACTTTATTCAATTATTTATTGAAATATCTGTGCACTCTGTTGCAAACCTATTTCTCAGCAATGAAATAAGAATCAAAGCAATCTAAAAGATTAGGAATCACACTAAGCTCACTGGATTGGGAGTTTGTGTTTGTTTATTTGTTTTAAACTCCTCTCACATTTCTAGGCCTATTTCAAACAAATAACCCAAATATTACAGTACAGAATGAAAAAGGTGATACAATGCTCTGTTATACTCCTAGCTCACAGTCCACTATGTTTTAAGACAAGTTATATTTAAAACAAGTATTACTTTGAAAAAGTATTTCAGTAAAAGATAACGAGGTTTCTAAGTATTTTTTTCCTCTATGAGCAACTGTTAGCAACAATGCACTAACATTAGTGGAAAATCATGACAATAAAAAAGTTCTGGCCCTATTCGCATTTTGCAGTGACAACAGAAGAAACTGATTTTATTAAGTTGAAGGGTAATCTTCTGGCTTTGCTTCTGAGGTCCTCTATTACAGAACCTGAACAAGTCAGGTAGAAGAAACATAGCTAGAATGGCATTTACCTTTTCAAAACTCATTTAGTCATGTAAAACTATGTCAAAACCCTTTACTGAAGATAATCTTTTCAAAAATTACTTTCCTTGATAGCAGAGACAGCAACCCACACCTACAATGGTCATGACACAATAATACAGTTGAAACGTGCCAAGCAAGGGAAAAAAAGTCTTCCCACAGTTCTCAACACACCGGCAATGAAGACGCTGCCTAGGATTCCTTGCAGCTTTCTCAACACTGCTGAAAGTGCTGATTTTTGAAGGAATTTTGTAGGTAAAGAGACCAGGGAACTGGCACACCTCAAGTCAGCAATCTGCTCCAAGCATAGTGGATTATATTTATTATTAAACTTATGTATCTACTAAAAACCTTGCTTCCATTTCCCAGCATGTTAGGACAAGAATGGCCCTTGCTCATTTAATGATAATCTTTCCTCATTAGCAGAACTGTGGTTCCCAAATGTTCCACCCACATGAGAAGTCATCTGGCTGTTCTGCTGCCTCCTGCTATAAAGTGAGTAAGGGACTGAACACTTGACACTTTGGAACGAATGTACAAAAATGAGCTTTTATGTAAAATTGCTTATATTTTGGGCTGTCTCAACATGGGCAAACAGACAGCAATAACCTGGAGGAATGAAGCAGAAAGCACAGTTCCAGCCACCGGCGTCTGATCCTGTTGGCCTGTTCTGTAAGATGAGCTTACGGAAGTTGGACAGCTTGAGGCTTTGAGGACACAACATGGAGATCACTTCCCAACTCCAGCAGTATGACAGAACGGAAGAGACCCCCAAGGACTACCCGGCCCTCCACCTTTCAGAAAGCAGAGCTCGCTCTGTGCCTTCCTTTCGTGCTCTTACACGCATACACGTGTGAATTTATGGGCAGTGTGAGATACACACAGATGCCACTGCCTGGCATCTGCCACACTTCTCTGGCAGCCTATTCCATGCACTGACCCAGATGCAAGGCAGCTCTTCCCCTCCAGTCCCCCACATATTCATTGCAGGTGACAGTGTTTCAATTTTGTGATTTTGGAAAACAAAAAGTCTGCTGTAACCCCACAAACAAGACAATGAAAAGAGAGCAAAACTACAAACTTCCCAGCCCTAGGGCTTGGAGGGAAAGTAGATATATGGTTTGACTTTTTATTTTTAGATAAATTTTTAGATTTTTAGATTATCAAACTGCTGAATCTGCGGAAATTCAAGATACACTTTTAACAGCAAATTACCCTGTATAACTCTTCCCAAGTTGTTGTTCATCACTGCTCCTAGTGATGGGGCATTACAGCATCCCCAGCTTGCTGACTGAGCAAAAGACCAGCACTTTTACCAATAGAAAAAAAAACCTGCTCTGGAGAATCCATGAAGTCCACTGCCAAAAGAAGGCATGGAAAACTCATGTTGACATGGCAGCAGCTGCAAGTGGCATCTAGCAATTTACAGAAACAACCCAGCAAGAGCAGTTACATGTGCTCACAAGTAATACATATGTAGTAATCCTACGTATGCTCACAAGTGCTGCAGCACAGAAGATTTTCCTTGTGTTTCCACAGCAGACTGGAGATGCTGTAACAGCTCTAGATTAATAATTATTTGGATTTGTTTTGATATTCAAGCTAAACCAATCTTATTATGCAAGAGTGGACTTATTTAATTTTGTTCACTTTTTTTAGTCTAAGAAATTACTTGACTTACAAATACTTGCCCTGATAAAGAAAACAAGGACGCTGGGGGAACACAAACTTCAAGCAATCAGAGGAAAAGGCTTCTAGCACTCCTCTGTGGAGCATTAGCTTTTCACAGTCTCAAGTCCAACCACATTATTGCCCAATGAGACACACCAGCAATAGCATAAGGGAGGCAGCAGGTCCCGCTCCCAGGAAGGTGGAACAAATGGCAAGAGGCAACATGTTGTTAGACCTACCAGGCCTTTCTTTTTTAATCACTCCTCCAAGAAAAGCCTCACCAGCAGCTTAGAAGATAACCACGTTAATGAACAGCAGCCGCTGAAGCATTTTCAGGTGTTCTTACCTCAGGAAAGGTGCTCGAGGAGCACCGCTGCTGTCCAGTTCAAACAGGGCATCTGCCCTCAGCCCATCGGCGACAAAGAGCACGAGACGTCTTGCTGGAGGGGGCAGCGGAGCCTGCTGAGGAGTCATACCATGAACCAGAGGGGAGGTGAAGTAGATGTCAAAGATGGAGGCCAGGAAGACGCAGTGCACAAGGAGCCCCGCAAGGATGAACACTGGCGTGTCCATGGCCACAGGGGCCTCGTGAGGCAAAGCTCAACACTAAGGGGCAGCGAGAAAGAGAAAATAATCAGGCGAGACTTACACTTACTTAATTTGTTATAGAACAGGAGTACCATAGCTAGAGACATTACCCAGTTCCATAATCTGGCTCTACTTAGGATTTTTTCTCCCAGAAATTCTGTTTTGGGTCAGAAGTGCATTGCAGATTCAGGCTTGCAGACAGTCATCATGTCTGAGCATCTCATATGGTGTTTAGCAGGATATCAGATGACTCCATAAATCAAGAAAGATCCTCCAGCATTCAGCACTTTTATGCTGTTACTTCGGTGCCACAAGACTGAGACAACGCAGTGCCTGTATGGACTACCTTGACCTGGCTGACTGCGACACAGCAGTCAGATCTGCTTGGGTAGATACAAATAAAACACGGCTAAGGAAAGCCAAAGGATCCCTACAATGAATCCAAAGCTTTTTTTTTCTGCAGATTCACTTCACTATCAGTTCTGGGTTCATTATACGGCATCTAAAAAACAAGGCAGAACAAGAGGCCCCGTTTAAGCGCAGAACCCTATCACACCAGGAGACACAGGCACAACAGCTCAACACTGATCCAGGCGGATAACGGTGTTTGCTTTGCACCCTTTCAGCCTCTGAGGTCAGCCTAGGGATACAAGGATGCAGAGGGAATAGGTAAACTGGAAATACACACCGGTATACTCAAGGCTTTGTCTGAAGCACACTGAAGTCAATGCAAACACATATATTGATTGAAATAAATTTGGGATCTTAGCCTGAATGAGGCTTGGCTCAGTGCAGTACTATTAGTTTTGACCACACCGCCAACTTCCTTATTTAAAAATAAGCTGGTTACTCATCTGCGTTACCCAACTAGCATCTCCATTCAGCGATTTTGAAACAGATGTTCCAAGTAGCCTGAAAGAGTCAGCTCTTCAAGAGCCTGCACCTCCCCCTTGAAGAAACGGCCCACTGCAGAAACTAGTTAGTGCTTCTGAATGACAACATTTCTTATTATTTACAGAACTTCAGTATTTAGAAATACTGACACTGACAGACACAGCCAGCCATCATACAGTAAAACTATTCTACTCGTGCACAGAAAAAAAGTTTTACCACCACATAACTTTAACTCTGATCAAAACTCAGAAATTATTATATAAGAAAGAAGCTATATACGTTGTTACTTAATCAAAAGAAAATTTAGCTCTACACGTAACTTAACTGTGACATGCAATTTCATTAGTTTTTCCTTTTGAAATACAATCATCTCTATCTCTATCAAAAACATTAATATAGTAAAGATTTCTCATTTTAGAGACCGAGGGGAAAAAACAGGTAGCAATCAAAACCGAGGCAACTAAAACATTTTAGAGAGAGACATCTAGTGGTCGTAGTTAAGGGATTAAAATATTTCATTAAGCAGGAACTTGCATGTCCCAAAAGTGAGACTTCAAGCACGTGTAATTACCAGTTTCTTCATTTTTTAAGTACTCGAGCTTTTTCTTTTTAAGCGCTCAGATTTTGTTCATGAAGGTAAAATACATGAAACCACAGCCAGATGCAGAAAAAACATCAGGATGAACACAGGACCTTATTCTACTCAGTCTCATTTTCCATCAGGCTTTTTCCACCGTTTTGGGCCTTTTTTTTTTTTCCCTTAATAAGAAAACCAGAAGTACTCATGCTTTATGCTGAGGTATCTAAATATCCTATTAAACAAAGCAGCTACTTTAATCAGATACTTGCTGGTGTATATTCCCAGTGCTACAATGCTAAAAGCTTAACATATTCTAAATTCTTCTAATTAAAGTATTAGTAAGCTAATCTGTTTTCAACATGAGAGAGCTCTCTTGGCTTTACGTCCCCAAGCCTGAGCCCTAGCCTAAAGAGCGCAGGGAGTGCAGCAACGTAATTCAAGTCTAATACTGTCTCATCTGATGATAGTGATCTACAGAATTAATTCAGGAAAGAATTTTATTTTGCAAGCACAGTTTAATTACCTTATACTGAACTATTCCTCTAGGCAAAACGTATCCAGCTGCTCATCACTATGAGAATGTTTCAGTACAGCCAGTTCTCAACCCACCTGCTTCTGCCACGTCCTCCATAGCAGCTCTTTCCACCTCTAGCTTAACTCCACTACTTTAGCATGCAGTATTATACATGGTGACGTAACATTGTCAACAGCACAATATTACCGGTGCCTCCCGTCACACTCAAATTCTTTCTCAGTGGAATGAGCTAAATTTGGAAATTTCTTAAGCAAATACCCAATTGCATCTGAGCAGAACACAGGAGTTCCACCTTTGTCCCTTTCCAAACCATAGCCTTGCTTTTGAACAAGCAAGCGCTGCATTAGGTTTCGCAAATCAGCACACTTCTGCGGTTAGAGAAAGCTCTAGCTCAATGAACACTGTGTAAGAACAGTCAACAGCAAGCTCTTGTAGAGAGGCAATGACCTCCTACACCTTTCCACGCTAATGAAGCTACAACTGCACTTGTTTCTTGCTAGCCTAAAGTATCTGCTCTTCTATTGTAACAGAGAGCCTATAAAAGAACATATATTCTTCCAACAAGAAACAGTGCTGCGGAATAATAACCAACATTTCCAGTACATTGTGATTTTCAAAGAAAAGGGAAGCTAAATCACTTCCTGGATTTCACTGAGACCCACCCATGGGTGACAAACATCCCAAAACAAGTTTATTTTTTTTTTTAATCAAGCTTTCTCCAGGTCCATTAAGATCCCACTGCCAGCTCCTCTCAACACACACTACTACTGAGAGCACACCCTTGTTTCTTCTCAGCCTGTAACATCAAATCATTTGACTTCAAAGAAGGGTAAAAGAAGAGCAAATGCGCACATGGATGAGAGCTCTTATAGAGATTTGGTAACTGGCAGTTGGATACTAAAGCTTTATTCATCTTCAAACATTTATCCATATACCCATCCTATGACTGCAAAAGCTTCTGCTTGAAGACTCTTAATAAAAGCCACCAGAGCAGTTCTTTAAGCAAACAAACCATTTCAGTAGTGCTTCACCACGACAACAATTTTTGAAACAATCGAGCATTAAGCACCATTCAGAGATCTACTTAAAGCTGGCTACTTCAAATACGTTTCTAAACATGCCCACAGAACTTCTTTAACCAAAGAAGTTTTCTTACAGCTAAGCAAGGTGGGCAGGGGGACCTGACAAATGGTATCAGAAAGGCCTGTGCACACAAGACCTCTCAAAAGCAGAGAGGATGTTCAGAGGCATGTGAAGGACTTATGTTTCTAAATGCAAAGGGAAATAAGTCACCCTTACTACCCATGAAGTGAAAATACCTTTTTGTCTAAGAAGTATGATAATACGTAACAAACTAATCAAGTTAATTTCCTAGAAGGAAAATTTGACTGTGAGACAGTCAAATGGGTCCCACAGGAACATCATCAGCCAAGGACACAACACGTGTCCAGTTTGGGCAGACCTGCCTTGCAGAGGAAGGAGTAACCAAGATAACACATTTCACAGGTCAGTGTAGTATCAGCTGTGTTACCAGGGACTTAAAGAACACCTATGCTTGGAAATAAACATCAAATCCAGATAGGAATGGAGCAAAATACTCCCTACTGAAGGAATGCCTTCACTCTGAACTTATGTACTATGGTCTAAGACAGACACAGGTAGTTGAACAACGGGCACAAACCAGTTTCGCTTTTGAAAGCAAGCTTGTTCATCTTATTGATCTGTTGTGCAAAATCAGTCTCAGGTGATGTTAGTTCATTCCCTGGCTGAATCACTACCAGCTGAGACTTCAAACAGTTCTTCAAACAACAAAAGGCAGCAAGTCAATCAGCGTCACAGCAGTCCAAATGGAGTGTCAGAGCTGTCATTCGGACACTCCTTCATTTTGCATCTGTCCAGCGAAGAAAATGAATGTTCACCCCTGCCAAGAGCAGTCACCCCAGCTACAGTCAAGGTTAATAACTACCCAAATGTGACTAAGACAAACCACTAGTACTTCACTGTCAATACCATTTTTAATTGTGAACTTTGAGGATTTGAGGCATTCTGCATACTGGAGATCCTTTTCCTGAATCTTTTTCCCAAATCCTTTTCCTGAAGTAGCAAAGCCAAAGTTACTTGAATTTACATTTGCAGGTATTTAAGATTTTAGGTCTGGGATGAATTACAACCTTCCATTCTGTTGTGGAATGTTGTAATTACATCCATGTAATTCCATTTATTTGATGTAAATGGGGATCGGTCGGAGGCAACAGAAAAAGAGAACAGACCTCTTAGAGCAGCCATCCACCCCTCAGCACCCTGCTATTGATTTTTTGTGGATCACTGAAGCACAGGCCATCAGTGAAGAAGTGGAGGCAACAGATGGAGTGACCTCCAGGATTTGTGAATGCCCCTTCACAGAACAGGAGACTTAATGCTAAGCAATGCCTGTGCTGTGTAAGTGCAATTGCGAGCACTTGTTCTACCAGAGGGATGACTCTCTGACCTCAAATATGGATTGAGCCCATGTAGGGATCTCCTCTAGTGTTACTTTACTGTGAAAAAAAACATTGTTAGGGATACTCATCTCCACGCAGCACAGAAGCATCACTTGATCTGTCTTCTTCAAGATACAGTGAAAGATCCTGGACTTGGAAACGTCTATGCAGGGATCCCACTGAATGGTCAACACAGCCTTGACAATACTAAAGCAGGAACAAGCAGGAACTGGTTGACAGCAGCAGCAAGTTTGAAAACATGCCTCTTCGGAGCACTGAGCAGAGCCCTTTGCAGTATGGAGATCTCTTCCATCCTCTTTTCTCTCACTTCATGTTTTTGCACCACCACTTGACAGGGTGCTTCAAAAGCAAGCCTCGACCTGAACACCCAGGTTCTGAAGTAGGAACCAGAGACTGAACAGGATCTCACGAGTGCCATGACAGGCCTGTCAGCACAGGGAGGAGCTGTAGATGGAAGCATGGGTGCCAAACTCCCAGCTGCCC